GAATCTTCAAATAGATTTCAGGTATCACAACTAGTGTAGAACTTTCGAGCAGACTACTTAAATAGACAATCTAAAGTTGTATGTGTGACTAGATGTATTCTCACAATATGTATTATTATCTACTATCAAATAACCAATAAAGTTTCAGCTAATAGCATTTGTATAAAGTAAAAAAAAAAAATAAAAAAAAAAAAAAAAATCTTGAATATTCAGAATTTTGAATATAGGTATTTTGACTATTCAGAATTTTGATTATTCAGAATTTTGAACTATTAAGATTTTGACTATTTAGAGTTTTGAACTATCAAGGTTTTGACTATTTGGTTTTAACTATTTGAAATTTTGAACTATCAAGGTTTTTACTATTCAAGATTTTTAACTATCAAGATTTTGACTATTTAGAATTTTGTCTCTATTAAGATTTTGCTTTTTTCAGAATTTTGTCTTGTTAGGATCTTATCTTTTTTGGGATTATACATATCAAAATTATAACCTATCATAATTTTAGGTTTTGGGAATTCAGAGTATAACTAGTATAAATAGAATATAGCATGATATTTAATATTAAAAACCTCAAAGTACATAAAATCTTAATTGCTCATAGTAATAACAAATCACAAATCAAGAGGATTTACATAAAGAGCTATAAGGAATTACTAGAGATTTCCTCTCTAAATACTGTCAATACATTACTAAGATATACTGATGTCTAGCAAACTACAAAAAAACAGAAAGAATACTTATTTCTAATTTCAACAAATACTTATACCTCAGCCTCAGTAGATACTATTGTGAGATAGATTAAGAAAATTCTAAAAAAAGCATTCCTTGATCTAAAGACCAAGAACACAAAATTGTTAGCAGTATTTTATGCTCAGAACTCAGATGCAGACTTTGCAACAATACTTGCAATAAGCAACTGATCAAGCTATAATATCTACTAATGCTTCTACTAATAAGATGTTATGATTATACTTCAGAAAAATCAAGTTATACAAAGAATTATAGCAGCTGCAAATAATAATACTCTGCAATAGTCACATTATCTGTAATTTACTTATGTAATAAAGTTTATTTATCTAAATATATAAATACAATGAAATGCATTTATAAATAAACAAGCAAAGTAAGTAAATTAAAGATAATAGTTTCCTTCCCCCCTCTCTTTCTCTCCCAAAAAAACATATGATCTTTAATTTATAAAAAAAAAACTTATAATTATCATACAGCCTAAGAAAAAGAGTTAGGTTAGGAAGAGTAGGGTATTTATATAATACCAATTCTATATAATAATATAACAACTACCTCATGATTAAGCACAAACTAATAAAATAAGGCCAAGTTACATGATCTTTAACTTACTTACTTTGCTTGTCTATTTATAAATGCATTTCATTGTATTCATATATTTAGGCTATTTGAAGTTGATTCTTCAGTTAACGTCAACTTTTAAGCTAATTCAACAGGGGTGAGGGAGATAAATTAAACAAACAAGAAAATTAAACAGAATATAAAATATATAATTAAAATATTAATCATATGTAATTATTATATATACGAAGTTCTAGAATATATTGTTTAGTTTATAATCAAATTAATAAAACAATTTTATATAATTATTTATTAAAAACTTATAAGCTTATTTGTTTTTTACCAATTTACTAACTTAGATTTGCCAATTTATAATCATAAAAATATAAAATAACAATACTAATAATAAAATTAGAAAGTTATTTTTTGAAGTTGCTATATTAAAAAATAATTGATAAAATTATTTTTAAATTTGTTATGCTAGTTAAAAAAATAATCAATAATTAAAATTTTAATTAGCCTATTAAATTTATCATAAATAGTATATTTAAATTCATATAAAGATTTTTATCTTATTTATAAAGCTTTTTGTTATCTTAAATTTATATAAAGATTTTTATAAGCTTTTGTTATCATATATTTTTGGTGTACAAGTTGACCATTTATAACTATTTTCTTGATAAGAATTACATAATGGGTAAATATTTTTGAAGTTATCTTTTAATTCTATAGGAGTTTCAAGCAATCCATCTTCTGCACTTTACTAATAACACAAGTCAACATCTTTAAGTCTACATAAATAATAATTT